CTGCTACACAGGTGCAGATCACAGGTTTTGAAGGAGTGGACACATCTACTTTAAAAAACCAAGTGACTGATATGTACCTTCACAAGGCTGCTCTGACTTTTACTTTCTTGCAGGATTGGAGTCAGAGCAATTTGAGGTTTTTACGTAATGCTTTGGCTAAGCAATTCAGGGTTGGCCCATTTGGCTTCTGCTTTTCCTCCAAGTCTTCTGGAGTCACAAGCCAACAAGACCTAAAGCCTGAAAGATTCTGAAGAGAGAAAAGCTTTAAGTTATCAAAATATTAGCATGAAATTGACAGATTAAGTTTTCATAATTAAATAATCTGGTATTTCAAGTATCTCTTCAAGTTTAAAATAACATGCTCTGCCAATGAGTGTTTAAATGGAAGGTGAGCCACAGGATGGAAAAGATGCCTTCATTTCTGTGTGATTTTTTTCTGAAGATGACTGCAACAACAGTGACAGCTCACAACCAGGAACATTTGCCCAACAGTCTTTTCAAGATAATGCCTCCCACGCATCAAAGAACAGAAGGAACATCTGAGTAACAGAAGGTGGAAACAAGTTGCTATCACATGTACAAGGTCTGTCTTTCAAATGGCTCTCATAAGGCACCAGGTAAAAGTATGGTCAATGTTAACCCACTGCAGAACACACAGCATGCTGACTTCTCCACCCCCATCTTCAAAAACACAGAAGCACTGAACACAATACCCATGACACCAGCGGGAGTAAGACTGTATTCTTCAACAAGCTTTGGATCTAACTGCATAAAGAATAATTAAAAACGATTTCATGAAACTAATGAAAAGAATTAAAATATCTGTTCATTTTCATTTTATTTTCAAAGATCTTCAGTCACAAAAATGATTTACAAGTCTATTTACAATTCTATTGTACAGTTATTTATGTATGCCTCTTGACAACAGGGTACCATTCTAGAGCAGCAATACACATTTTAAATACAAAGATGTAGTATCATTTCAGATCTAAAAATAAAAAGGTAGCTGAGCTTCTAGAGAGCACTGTAATGATGAACCTTTTAATCTGTGTTAGGCTTAAGGAACTCATGACAAACCAAGTAGTTTCTGGTTCACATAATTACAAACAAGCTGCAGTTTGTTGAAAATAGCTTTAAAAACCTGAAGCTTTACTGTATAAAATCAACATAGTCAAGACTCTTAAAAATTGTCAAAACCCCACAGCTTTCCCTTAGACATACAAAAACCTAGTTTACAATTCATAATTTCATGGGAGAAATCCTACAGAACTTTAGCTCTCTCATTTTGTGATGACCAGCATAAGCATTAAAAATTTGCAGCATAAAAAGGACTCCACATCTGCTCAGTATTATACTGTATATACACATACAGTACAGGACTATTTACCCAATTGATATACAGTACAGGACTATTTACCCAATTGGTATGGCTGTTCAGCACAACCTTTGTGAAGAAAGAAAAAAATAAATAGAATTAAAAATCCAACAACTTTTTAAAAAGTGCAACAGTAAGAGTTTCCAATTTAAAGTTATGATGAATATGGACAGTCAGTTCTGTGGGTGTTTTAGCCGCTTCTACTCAAGCATTATTTGCAGCATTTTCTTTTTACAGTAGATTTAGTTCTATATTACATGAAACTAGAGTTACTGCTAATTGAATCTGAAGGGAAGAGGAAAAAAAACTTTAAAAATAACCCTGAGGGATATACAATTTAATGATCTTGCAACTTTATTTCTAAAAAGTAACATTTATTATTTAGCAATTGCTTTTCTGGACAGACCAGTCTTTAAGTATGTGCATAAATAATATTTAAAAATCAGTAATATTTACAAATCCTAATACATCAAAGTAAAATACGTACAGATTAAAGTCTGCATACACAAATAATTTAATATTAAATCAAACTCCCCAACGTAAGGCCAAAATATACAGCAGGAAGAAAACGTCTACCGAGTATCTAGTGGAGCTCACTAAATTGGTCTGTTCACCTGAATTTAGACTTCCAAGATGAACATTAGAAGAAATTCTTTTCACTACAAACTGAATTTCATCTTACTTCAAAGCAGAAACCAAATACACTAGTGCAGATCTAGTTTGCTGCATTTCTGAAAACCAGAAAAACTAAACTGCTCAAAATGAGAAAAATTATAGGTGGCCAAACTCAGCTCTTGGGCAGGAAGGCATAAATCCCAATAATTGCAGCAGATGCAAAGCTTATTTTGTGGCTGAACTTGCAACAAGACAGATTCTCAGAAATGCTGATTTATTATTCTTGACTAAATGTCAGAAGCAAATAAGTCAGAGCTCAAGCATGCAACCTCAAGAACATTTACTAACTCTGAACGCATACCTTATGGAAACTAGCTCCCATTTGCTAAATATTCAAGTTTAGTAGGCTCATGACCCGTTAGTCACTCAATCAAGTGGAGACACTTGGCAATTTCAGTTTTAGTAAGAGTTTCCTAAAATGCTCTCCGAAGACAAGCCCACCTTAATAAGCTGTTTCCTCCTCACCTTCTAGATAAGTCTAACAAACTAGAATAAGGTTGAAAGACTAGCTTCAGAAACCAAGCAAGTCGACAGAAACTATTAGTTTAGAGAAAGTAACAAGCAAAAGCACATAAAGGGGAAGAACACAAATATTTTGTTTCACTTCCGATGGAACAACCAAGCTAAAGTGGTCAATAAAATAGAAAGCAAAAGTTTATGCATTTAAGAGTAAGTCACAGCTCCCAGGTCCAAGATGCATAGCTTCGCAACATTTTTCAACTAAAATATTATTTTTCTTTATATCTGAATATTACTTACGCAGCTAAGAATTATTCTTCATCAATTATTCCATGCTACAAAGATTTTGTAAAATCAACATTGACAGAAATTAGCCAACTGACCCAAGTTCATGATTAACAAATTTATCCAAGTCCACAACTGCAGACTCGTTAAAAGCTACCAACGTTGTTCGACGTTTAAGAAGCCAGGATAGTAAGACTTTTACATTGCTCTGTTGAATGAATGCTAAGAAAACCACTTCCCCCTTCCTCCTGCTTTACCCTTCAAAAACAAACAACAGAAAAAAAAAATCAGGAAAGGAGTTGACAGCTGGACTGGAGGATAGTACATCATATGCATACTATTTACGAGGAGCAAGTGCTAATGACTTAAACTACCAAGTTCTAGGAAAAAGTCTTCTAAGCCATTTAGCACCACTTTTAAATTCCCCATTGGCACAGTATGTTCAACACTGCAGAAACCATAACCTGAGCAGTGGGGGACACTGTCCATACTGCCTTGCAGAACAGCACAAGGGAATCAGGCCCACCCTGAAAAATTCCCCTTTCTAAAACAATGCTGGAATGGAGTTGTCTCCACAGGAATTTAAAAAACAAACCAAAAAAACCCAAACAAACAAAAAGACCAAAACCCACCAAAATCTCAAATTCCATCATCAGAATACACACACTTCAGAATTATCCCAGCTGGCCAGGGAGTTTCAGGCTTTCTTCCATGACTAGGCTAAAGGACCAGACTTCCTTCTCTAGAGGGTCTCTACAGAATCGTGACTTCGCCAGACCCCAGATCCCCTCCCAAAGCTTGCAGGTGTCTGAACCAGTCAGCTGCATCTGGTCAAAACGGACTGATCAAAAGTCGGTATTTTATCATCTTCCCAAAGACACCAAAGAAGACTTCTGAAAGTTGAGCACGTTGAAGATGGCTTGAAGATAAGTAATTTGTGGTTTAAGTTTAAGCTTTGCACGTGAAGACATGCCTGCCTCTACATCTTTGCAGACCTATTTTTCTAGTGGTCTTGTGTTTTGACACCGCCTAATGGCAAAACAATGTATCGCTACCCCATGTGCTTAAGCAGCACTACTGGTGCTGCCAGCTTTTCTTTTTTCTTACTTTTTTTTAATAAATAAAATCCACATAAACCTTATAGTTCTGCAGCAAGACAGATTTTAGCTCATCTATTTTATCTTAATTTTGTTTCATACAGCTACATATAGTGCTTAAGACACCGGCAGACTCTTTGAAATGCTTATGTTCTTAACATGCACAAATCCCAAGCGTGGGCATGTGAAAATATTCCTCCCTCCCACCCGCATTTCCCTTGCAGCAGTAACTTTGGCTTTACTGCTTCAAGGTATATAGGAAAATTATCTTAAAATCTCCAAATAAAACATGGTCCACAAAGGGATAATCCAACCCTGCTGCTGAAAAAAGCAAGGTCTGTGGAGAAATGCATAGCGAAAGGTAGTAAAACATAAGACAGAAGAAAGTGTTAAGATTCTCCAGCCTTCCATCTCCAAAAACTTCAGAGTGTAGCCAAATGCCTCCTCCTCTGGAGGTCACCTAAGCCCTTCCTCAGGGTTAGCTAGAAAAGAAGCTAAGAACCCACTTGAAAGCAATGTGTTTTCTTCTTAAGGACAGAGCATATTGCTCCTATAGCATTCCCAATTCC